CACATTCATAGAATGCATTCAAATTCCCTGCTCACCTTCATTTTTGATACTTTTTATCAAAAGGTTTGCATTCTTAAAAAATGTAAAAGACAACCAAAAATAACTAATAGTCTGCTGGTGAATAATAAGTGTCAAATTGCTTTATTCAAAAGAAAAATATGGGATAGAAAATGCAAGTTCATATTTGATACCTAGATTTAATCTATCCAAGCCATTTAGGATCGGCATGAGTGGTATCTGAGCAGAGAGGAATGTGGAAGTGGATTAACTCCATGGTTGAGATGGACATGCCAAATTTAATGTATAAATAAATAATCCATAGCCACTTAACATTTGGTCTGTTCTAAAATACCTGAAAAATTGCAAGTGTGAGGCACATTTTAATATTTTCAGATTCCCATGTTTTGAACTTTATACCCATTACCATAGAAAGTGATAGCTGGACAACAGAAATGGATTCTCCATGCCTTAATTACATTGGAAAGTAATTTGTGTCCAATTTAGATTGAAGAAGTTGCTTAAAAACGATTCCAATCACACAACACATAGATATGATTGCACTTCATTATGCCTATTTTGAAACGTATAAAAGTTTTGTATATTTATATAGGGTATGTATAGGTATAGGATGATATATTGTTTCTCCTACAGTGATACACACACACACAAATAGCCATTTGTTTAACACTGTTTCGGAGTTACAATGGTTGAGTTTAATTGAACAGAATACCTCATTTGGCCAAGTATGATTAGACACTCAAGAAATTTGTCTCCAGTACAGAAGCACTCTACATGCAAAGTAATAGAGTAATAATAAGTATAATACCAATAAAAGGGAGAGTAAAGGGGAAGAAACTGCCCTGGGTCTACTTGTTTTGGCATACATTGCCCTGTAGTACTCCAGGGGAAGGAATTGAAAAAAGTGACTCCATTACCCTACAGTCAAGCATTTTGAGCTGTTAGCAATTGGCTTGCATTTATGAAGGATGCAGCATCTTGTTGGTCACAAGATCATAATGGTTGCAATGTCCTGTGGCCACACATCTGCAACTTCTAATCTGACAAGCAAAATCAATGGAGGAAGCCATATTTGCTTAATAACCCTATAATTCACTTAACCATGGTGATTTGCTTAACAATGGCTGTAAAAATGGTTGTAAAATCAGGTTTGGTCAGGCAATGACTCACTTAATGACCACTTTGCTTAGTGGCTGAAATGTTGGTCCCAGTTGTGTAAATTGAGGACTTCCTATATATATACACCCACAAATGACTAAAATATATTCTATGAGATTTCTTCAGTATTTGTAACGCACACAAAAATTATCTGGTCTTTTTGCAGAATTTTGGCTTGCTTAAAATAGTGTTCAAATTCATAACAAATTTGGTGCAATTTCCCACTGCATTAAATCCTCATTAAGTGACTGTCTTATACAGTAATCATTGTTACAACAGCAATAACTTTGTGACCAGTTCTTGCATTTAGGAACTTTATAGATCTGTAAAACAAAGGAAAGTAGAAGTGCAATTTCACTTAGTGGCTGCTTTTGCTTATTGACCACGTTGCCAGTCCCATTTGTGGTTACTAAACAAGGATTACCACTTTTTTCTTTCCTGTTTAAGGCTCTAATTCCATGATATTTGAATGAGAATAATGTGACATTTACCTCTAGTATTCTTTTGCCACAGACAAGTCTTCTATGAAACCAGATATACTCAGCCAAAACCACCGCGCAAGGCCAAACATACATACCATACTGAGGATCAAGAACCTAAAAAAAAGTTTGCATTGCAAAATAAGATAGCATTAAAGGAATTTTAAAGATATAACTTTTTCCTGTTTTCCTAGTCTTTTAAGTAGTTTATAAAATACTTCTATTAATACTGTTCTACAATGTGCTAGAACTGCATACAAATCAAAGGTCAAGGAGAAAGCTAAAATCCACCCATAATATATTTGTAATAATGAATATGCTGTATATTTTCTACTAGATATCTATAGAAAAAAATATTCATTAGAACACATGCATTTTGTAATCAATCTTTTCAGGCTCAATTGTGACTATGCAGCTACAGTACATATGTAAGTACAATGAAATAAAATCAAATCCAACATGTGAGCCTATTAAAAAAATGCAGACAGATGTAATTCCTCCTTCAAATCTTAAGTGAATGGTTACAGATTCACCCAAAAAGGACACCAAAGTTACTGTTTTATGTTTGTTGTGTGTATGTATTGCCTAACAATTGACAAAGTAAAAAAATTTACACTAAATTTCTTAACCACTTCTACTTGATTCTACTAGAATCAAATAAATAAATCTTTCTGCCTAATCTTACTCAATCTTACAAACACAGATACCCGTTCAGAATATGACTTTATGATAGATTTGATTTAGCTTAGGGAGAATAACGTGTACAAGAATGCCTGTTTTAATACAAATTGTGGAACTGGCATATTGCAGTGATCAACATAATGAGTTTAAATGTATTTACTGAGATAAGCCTTCTGCTCTCAGTACAGTGGGGCAAAAAAGTATTTAGTCGGCCACCAATTGTGCAAGTTCTCCCACTTAAAAAGATGAGAGAGGCCTGTAATTGTCATCATAGGTAGACCTCAACTATGAGAGACAAAATGAGAAAACAACTCCAGACAATCACATTGTCTGATCTGGAAAGAATTTATTTGCAAATTATGGTGGAAAATAAGTATTTGGTCACCTACAAACAAGCAAGATTTCTGACTCTCACAGACCTGTAACTTCTTCTTTAAGAGGCTCCTCTGTCCTCCACTGTATTAATGGCACCTGTTTGAACTTGTTATCAGTATAAAGACACCTGTCCACAACCTCAAACAGTCACACTCCAAACTCCACTATGGTGAAGACCAAAGAGCTGTCGAAGGACACCAGAAACAAAATTGTAGACCTACACCAGGCTGGGAAGACTGAATCTGCAATAGACAAGCAGCTTGGTGTGAAGAAATCAACTGTGGGAGCAATAATTAGAAAATGGAAGACATACAAGACCACTGATAATCTCCCTCGATCTGGGGCTCCACGCAAGATCTCACCCCATGGGGTCAAAATGATCACAAGAACGGTGAGCAAAAATCCCAGAACCACATGGGGGGACCTAGTGAATGACCTGCAGAGAGCTGGGACCAATGTAACAAAGGCTACCATCAGTAACACACACCACCAGGGACTCAGATCCTGCAGTGCCAGACGTGTCCCCCTGCTTAAGCCAGTACATGTCCGGGCCCATCTGAAGTTTGCTAGAGAGCATTTGGATGATCCAGAAGAGGTTTGGGAGAATGTCATACGGTCAGATGAAACCAAAGTAGAACTGTTTGGTAGAAACACAACTCATCATGTTTGGAGGAGAGAGAATGCTGAGTTGCATCCAAAGAACACCATACCTAATGCGAAGCATGGGAGTGGCAACATCATGCTTTGGGGCTGTTTCTCTGCAAAGGGACCAGGATGACTGATCCGTGTCCAGGAAAGAATGAATGGGGCCACGTATCGTGAGATTTTGAGTGCAAACCTCCTTCCATCAGCAAGGGCATTGAAGATGAAACGTGGCTGGGTCTTTCAGCATGACAATGATCCCAAACACACGGCCCAGGCAACGAAGGAGTGGCTTCATAAGAAGCATTTCAAGGTCCTGGAGTGGCCTAGCTAGTCTCCAGATCTCAACCCCATAGAAAACCTTTGGAGGGAGTTGAAAGTCCATGTTGCCCAGTGACAGCCCCAAAACATCACTGCTCTAGAGGAGATCTGCATGGAGGAATGGGCCAACATACCAGCAACAGTGTGTGCCAACCTTGTGAAGACTTACAGAAAACGTTTGACCTCTGTCATTGCCAACAAAGGATATATAACAAAGTATTGAGATGAACTTTTGATATTGACCAAATACTTATTTTCCACCATAATTTGCAAATAAATTCTTTCCAAATCAGACAATGTGATTGTCTGGATTTGTTTTCTCATTTTGTCTCTCATAGTTGAGGTCTACCTATGATGTCAATTACAGGCCTCTCTCATCTTTTTAAGTGGGAGAACTTGCACAATTGGTGGCTGACTAAATACTTTTTTGCCCCACTGTACTTACAGCTAATTTCAAAAGAAAAAAAGCAATGATTACAGAAACATCTGTTATATTCAGGGATTAATCTATAAAGTCAGGAAGTCAAATTATAAAGCATTTAAGAGAGCAACATAGATGCATTGTTTCCTGCACACGAACTGGCACATATTTTCTATCTTGTTAAAAAAGTCAAATGTCAAAATGTTGTGAAGATATAACTCAATTAGGTGTATCACTGAAATATGACATGCTTGTGTAAACAAAAATAAATTTGAGCATTAAGAATTTTTAAACTCTTAAATCTAAGAAAGTGTTGTATCCATTACCAAAATGAAAACATTCTTCATTCATTGATTTGTTGATCAGTAATTCACAAATAAAAGTTATCAAGATAAGCCCTGGAATCAGTTCAGGATTTATCAGATCACTAACCAGTGATAAACACGGGGAAGTGATCAGTATAATTAACTATATCAAAACTTTGAAATACTCTGGTAACATATTACTAAATAAATCTGCAACCCTAAATGATCACTTGAAAATATGCCTCATTGCATTCTAAAAGCTTTACGTTGAAGAAACATAGGGTACTATACTAACTTTCTGTTGTCAGATTTGTATTTGAAATATAATAATCCTTAACTTTTTAAATTTGCCATTTCACTTGCAGAAATAAACAATTTAAGTTTAAATTTAAGCTCTTCATCAAACTAGTTTGAAAAACCAAAACCTCACTGGAACATGAACTCACTTTAGAAAAGTTGTAGGATGGAAACCAAAAGAAACAATGCCTATCAAACTATCTTAAACCAATTTTCAGTGCGGCATCTGTTCTTAGGGGGAAAAAAAAGTATTTCAAAATGAGTCAAGAGCAATTTCTGTGAAATGCAAGGATATCTTTATCTTATCTTCCAGAAAGATTATCTTCCAAGGTTTTTAAATTGAAATCTCTGATTCTCATTCAGCAGATAAGAACTGATAGGTGGATCATACCAAATCCAATCTGAGCATATTGGCTGACTGTGTGACAAACCATAATCAAAAATGGTACCTCAGGAATCAGCACCACCAGCTCCAGGGGCCGCTCATCCCCGTCTCCCTTTTCCTGATCCTTTCCAAACCGGTATTCCTTCACAGTCAAGTTGGATGCTATCTCGCACATGCCAGGTTTTGTGAAAGGATCCATAGGCCTGATTGGCCATCCGGCAGTCAGGCTCTTCCAGCACGTCTCTGGACGAGGCAGCCAATCATGTCCATTTCTAGGAAGGGAGGAAATTATCAAAACCCAGCCGACAAGAATGGCACTTAACAGTTATCTCCCTTTACCAGGTTTTTTTTTTTCCTCTTGAGTAGCCAGGCTGTTTTTACTTCTCTCCCACTGAAGACAGACTGTTTATTCTTGCAGGCTAATTGATCCTATGGAGAAATGCCAATAGAGCTCAATTTCGCCTGGTATCACTCGAGCTTTCCCTGGAAGGATTTGGGACTCTTTACAGAGCAATCCATTGCGGCCACTTGTGGAGTTATTGCATCTAGTGTAATGTGAGTGTCATATATTCCTTTAAGGATCAAAGTCCCGTTAGACCAATAAACCTGTTTAAAAAAAAAAAAATCTACACCGATATCCAGAATCAAACTGCGTCTCCCTATGAATGGGCTTCCCTGTGCAGTTTGGAAACCACCGTCCTTCAATGTGGGCTGCTAACCCGAAATAAAAGTCCAATATGACAGTCAAGCCTGCTGTTTACGGACACGAGCTTGGGGTTAAATCTCGCGGAACAGAGTAGGATTTCTAAGTTAAATATGCGTCGGGTCGAACCCATCCAGGTTCCTAGGAAAGTGAACGGAAATCTCATTGCCTGAAAGAGTCGTGCCTAAATGGGCAGCTTTCAGCCAAGTGCAGCCACTGCAACAATCCGATCCTCGCTTCAGCGTTTATTCCCCTCCCCCGCCCTTCACTGGGCCTTCCTGGACTATAAAGCCACCCTCCCACCCACCTCGCAGATCAGCGCCTGGCTAAGAGCGCGCTCCACCACCACCCCACGCCGCCCTTCGCGTTGCGCAACAGCGACGCCTCTCGGCGGGGCGTGACGTCCCAAGATGGCGCCGAAGCGCTTCCTCCTCCACTCTGGCGCCATCTATTTCCGCCTCTCGAAAGACCCAATGAGAGCTGTCCCTTCCGCGAGACCCCACCCCCCCGGCGGCGCCAGCCAATGGGAGGGCGCGGAGGTTGAACCCACGCGAGGCGGGCGGCGTCGAGGCCGCGATGCGGCGGCTGAGTCGGCGCGTTGGTGAAATTTCTGGAAGCGACGGGGCGCTGTTGTTCGGGAGGGTGCCATCTCGGAATCCGTAGCCGGAAGAGTCGGGCGGGGAAGGCAGAGCCGCGTGGGGAGCATGAACCACAAAAGCAAGAAGCGCATCCGTGAGGCTAAGCGGAGCGCGCGCCCCGAGCTCAAGGACTCCCTCGACTGGACTCGCCACAACTATTGCGAGAGCTTCCCGCTAAACCCGGCGGGCTGCAAGGTGAGCGGGAAGGCTCGGAGAAGAGTCTCAACAAGGAGGCGGCTGCGGCTGCGGCTGCGGCGGGGGAAGGTGGGTGGCGGGGAAAGGGCGGCAGTCGAACGCCGCAGAGCCGGACAGGTTCTCTCATCGGGACAGGAATGGCGGGGTGGGTGGGAATTTAAATCCCTTCCCGGGGGTGGTTGGGACACATCCTGAGAGGGGCGGCTCGGATTGCTCGTCAGGTTTTGTAACCCCCTTCCTCCGGGATCTCAAGGCAGAGAGCGGTCTCTTCCTTCGGCTGATCTTGCCGACATCAACCCCGCTTGGTAGGTTGGGCACCGAGAGAGGTGAGGGGCTTAACCCACCCCCACCCCCCGGTCTCTGTGGGGATCGTGTCGGCTGTAGGGTTCAGGATCGACCCCGAAAGACGGATGGGGCGATGATCCTTTATTTTTGCTATGGTTATTCGTAATGCTCTTATTTATTTATTTATTGGTTCGATTTATATGCCGCCCTTCTCCGGAGACTCAGGGCGGCTTACAATGTGTTAAGCAATAGCCTTCATACTTTTGTATATACCTGCTTAGTAGGGCTTTAGGGCGCTTCGTCAAAGTAGCAATTATTAAGTTGTTTCTAAAATAGAATATTCGGCGGTCGATAAACAATCCGAAGGTCCAACTAAAGGGGTCGCGGAGATGAAGAGTTTGGGGACAAGATAACATCTCAAAAGTGAGGAAGGTCCTTGGCACTTTGGGTAAAAACCCCTCTCGCGGGTTGTATTTTGTACAGTTTGGGCTTCCATTAAAGTGGTGGGAAAGGAACTGGGAGTAATTATGTGACCACAAAGAGGAGGGGGGGGTGTCAATTTATTTTCCAAAGCACCAGAAGGCAAGACAAGAAACAGTGGATGGAAACTGATCAAGGGGAGAAGCAACCTGGAATTAAGGAGAAACTTCCTAACAGTGAGAACAATTAACTAGTGGAACAGCTTGCTTCCAGAAGTTGTGACTGCTTCATCACTGGAGGTTTTTAAGAAGAGACTGGAGACCCACCAGTCTGAAATGGTATAGGGTCTCCTGCTTGAGCAGGGGGTTGGACTAGAAGACCTCCAAGTTCCCTTCCAACTCTATTCTGATTCTGATGGTGCGTAAAGGGTGCCTTGCTGAATTCAGTGGGACTTAATTGATGCGTAAACGTGGAAACTTTCTGAACAAGAATTGATGTTTGTCATACCACATTTGTGTATTTTTAACTTTTTAATCACCAGAATTATAGATAAGAATGGGAAAAAGAAAAGGAAATGTTCATAGCAGATAATTATTTTAAGATATTTATGATATGCTGAGAAGACATATTTATGTAAAGCAGATTTCATACAAGAATATGTGTACAGATTAGACATAATATAGAAAGTGAAGAAAAGATGAATTATTAAAAAGTAGATCTTGTAAGAATAGCAAGGAAGTGGTTGCCTCCTAAAAGTTAAAGTTTATGTTTTCATGGAATCCAGTCCTGTTCACATAGTAGGAAACATTTTTAATTATATGTGGTGTAGTTTTTAGTAGCTGTAAATAAGATTAAGCAATAATATCCAGTCCTCACCTCCCCCTGCAATCACATGACTACATTTTGGACACGTGGTCCACATTTATGAGCATTTGCAGCATCACATAGTCACATCACTGGGATTTACAATGTTTTTACTAGAAACAGGCATTTACTTCCAGTTTCTGGGGAAAAAAACACTCCACAGTGAACAATAGACTTATTTTATGACAGCGGCAACAAAAAAGGTAATAAAATCAGGTGCAGTCTCATGACGATTTGCTTAATGACCATCAAAACTTACACTCAAAATTGCAGACTCAATTGTGGTCATAAATTGAGGATTACCTCTAATGGCAAATTCATACCCTACTGTTCTTTATTTCTCTGTTGCTTTCCCAGTTAAAACTTTTATTCTCCTACTTTGCTAAGAGACACATATTCCAAAGTCTATTGTGTCTGTGAAAACCTCCATGCCATTTGATGTTTCTGAGGATAAGAGATGTGATAAGGCTCGTAAATGCTTTTAGATTATGGTAGATTGCAAAATATTCTTTGTTGTTTTCCTTCTTGTCCATTACTTGTACCTGAAGATTTTTCAGAGTGGAATTGTGTAATACTTTGCATAGTATACAAGTATAGTACCTAATTTAAGCTCTTTAAAGCAGATGAATTTTCCAGGTTTGTGAGGCTGCTTTAAACAACCGCAGGTAAGTTCTGGATCATGCCTCAATGCACTCCCACACAAGGGTTCTTTTCAAACTGAATGCAAAGCACTACAAAGACTAAGGTGTCCTTCAAATAATGGGACAGGTTCATTCTTTGCACCTTCTTCCTGATGAGCAAGAGTAAATAAAATTCCAATTTACCTTCCACACAAGTTTGTTAAGAAATGTAGTACAGTACTTGAAATGCATATTAAACAGCAATTTTTTTTGCACATTTGTCTGTCACAGGCAAAAATTAATGATCAGTTTGGTAGCTATCATTTGAAACATTTTATATTAAGATTTTGATTATATACTTGCTTACCTGGGAATACTTGTGAACTTAACAGCAGTTCTTTATGGAATTCCATAGTTTAAAAAAAATTTTTTTTTATAAGAATGGAAATGCAGTAGAATGGCCTCATGTAAAAATTATCTCCCAAGTTACATTACGAACACTTTTATTTCAAAATTAAAAAATAAAATCCACGTCATCTAGCAGTACCGTATAAATTTATGCAATTTTATAAGGAAAACAAGAGTTTAACATAATTTTAAAGCATTTTTGTTGACTCTGTGGGTCTCATTCTGTAGGGCTAATAGTATCATTAAGGTTCTACTGTATTACATTCTTCATTACTTGGTTTTAAAGGTAGTTCTTCATCCATTCTTGTAGGATAATGTGGAAAGAGCAGATGCCCTCCATATGTCAGTGGAAGAATTCATTGAAAGATATGAGAAACCTTATAAGCCTGTTGTCCTGTTAAATGCTGAGGCAGGGTGGTCAGCCCAAGAGAAGTGGACTCTGGAACGCCTGAAGCGCAAATACAGGAACCAGAAATTCAAGTGTGGGGAGGACAATGACGGTTATTCTGTGAAAATGAAGATGAAATATTACATTGAATACATGGAGACTACACGAGATGATAGTCCTCTCTATATATTTGACAGCAGTTATGGGGAACATCCAAAGCGCAAAAAACTTTTGGAGGACTACAGGGTACCCAAATTCTTCACTGACGATTTGTTCAAATATGCAGGAGAGAAGAGAAGGCCACCTTACAGGTATAAACTAGCTAACCTCAAGCACCAAAAGTCTGGCTTATAGACCCAGTGAATTTCCATTATTCTCATTTGTCCTGCGCATACAGTCCAGGCACACTAAAACTGAGAGGGTTGTTTAGACTTTGATGTACACAGTAAAACAGGATGCCTTTCCAAATAGCAGCTACACTTAAGTTATAACTCATAAATCACTTAAAGCCCAGATAAAGTTAATATGTTTTTTAAAAGATTTTAAGGGCTTTTAGAAAAATGAACTTGTGCAATCAGTGGTTGTTTCGCTTTTCTTACCAATATTGGTCTTGGCCATAAAGCACTCTCTGAATGGATCAAAAGGCAATATTGTGTACAAATTCTGGGAAATGCAGTCTGAATACATGAATAGCACTGGATTGATAATGGTTGCTCTACTGTTTAAGTGCATCTATTGTGAGGTTCTGGATTAGATTGTTTAGGCAACAATGTCCATAGTTGGGTTCTACTATCATTGGGGAAATAAAACATTTTATTCACCTTTGCCTTTGAGATAACTGCTAGGATTTTTGGATGATTGTGTTAGATTGTTGAAATGTTAAAAAAGAATGTAGGATAATATTTTCTATCCATTCTTGACATTGTCCTTTTTTCTTTTTTATGCTCCTACATTAAAAATGGCCAGATTTTGAAATCCTTTCTTCATAGAGTGGAATGTTCATGGGACATTCTGAAAACCATTCCTCACATGGTCAGGATTCACATTTTGTAAAATAAACTGCTCAGACCTACCATGTCTTGAAGTGATATTTTATTTTCCATTAGGAAAGGGATTACAAAATTAGACTTCTATTTTTTATTCAAAAATAAATATGGAAATAATCTTCCTGAAAACTTTTGCACTATAAAACAAAATATGGAAGTGGAACAAAATGTTTAGGTCTGCTTTAGAAAAAGAAAGGAAATCTTTATTTATTTTTAGGGAAATGTTAACAAGAAAAATAATTGAGTTTTCTAATATTGCAGATGGTTTGTGATGGGCCCACCTCGTTCAGGAACAGGTATTCACATTGACCCTCTGGGAACGAGTGCATGGAATGCCTTAGTCCATGGACATAAGCGCTGGTGTCTCTTCCCTACCAGCACTCCCAGAGAATTGATCAAAGTGACCCGTGAAGAAGGAGGCAATCAGCAAGATGAAGCCATCACTTGGTTCAGAGTAATATATCCCCGAACGCAACTTCCCACTTGGCCTTCAGAGTTCAAACCTTTGGAAATAGTACAAAAACCTGGAGAGACTGTGTTTGTGCCAGGTATGCATATTTGTTAAACTCTG